ATATATATATATATATATATTTATACAAATTTTAAATATAATTTATAAACTGAAACATAATATTTATTTATATATAATTAATTATAAAATTTACTTATATATAACAAATGTCTGTATATCGTCTAAACTATAATAGTAGTTAATCATATTTAAATAAAATGATATTCTCCGTCATATTATTGAAGAGCATGGAAAGAACAAAAATCTATACATCTAATAATTATTTCCACGTATCTAGCGCAAAGATTAAAAGACAGGAGAAGGAAAAAAGTTGTGAAGCATTCCGTGTCACGCGCGACCATATGTGACAATTATGATTTTAAGATCTCAAGCAATACCCCACAATTGTTGCTGATCTGGAAACAGAACGCAGAAATTGTTTATGAATAAGAAGTACCCCTGCTCCATACCCACTGTGCTATCGTTGTCACCCATTACAATGGGAATTTATCATTACGAGTAATTCTTGTGTTGACACATATGTGCCCACAAATCAAACGTTTAAGATACATTATAATAATAGTATAAAAGATAACCAATTCTGTACTTTAATTATTTTAATACCACATAGGCTCGTACACATGCAAGAATTACTCCTCATAATTGGACCAATTTTATTCTTATTGGTCCAATACAATGTGTGCATGTGTGTAAGGTGGTTCAAATGGGATCCAATAATCAATACCAAACATGATTCACAATGATCGTAGTGAGAGAGATTCTTTTGTGTTTTTGAGAGTAAAACACATCTCTTGGTATGAAAAACTCATACATCTGTAGCGCGCTTTGTCAGCATGTTCGATACATTTCATACACTTGACACATTTTGACACGTGTTCAACACGTTTTAACCATGTCACATTTAAGAAATTTTTTCAAACCTCTTCTAAGAATCCGAGTCATATGTTCTTAGTTATTCATTTATCTAATATTCCTATTACCAAAAGTTTAAAAAGTTAACTTATTTATAAATATTGTAACATTTTTTTATCTATAGTAAGATTATTTTTATAAAAATTATTTATTGTTTTAACTTTTAAAAGATATTAATCTTCTAAAGATTATTATCATATAAAAATTAAAAAACTATATATATTTATATATTTATACACCATATCCCTCGACCATTACCAAAATCGAATACCCTATTCGATCCTAGCAAAGGCCGAAGGATAATCAAACAAAAGGTAAGGCTCCACCAGAGTTGAACACCCCTCTTCTGTCCTAGCCTAAGTCGAAGGGGTAATCAAAGAAGGCGAACTCGGAGTCCCAAAGAGCATAAATGGTATTCGGCCAAAAGCTATGTCAAATACCCTTTTGATCAAGTGATCAACCGAAAAGGTGCTCCACACCTCGAGAACTGGACCAGAAACTAGTAGAAGAAAAGATTAGAGAATAATATCCACGTCAAATCAACATTAAGATGAGATTAGGGTCTAGAACCCCTAATTACCCATCTTTCGAAACTAAAGGCCCGTTAGGCCCAAATATGTCACTATAAATATACTTATGATCGGACAGGAACAGATACAATCATTTAATACTGTAGCCTTTATCGCTCTGTACCGAATACTAACTTGAGCGTTGGAGTGTCTTTGCAGGTACCCTCCCCACCACTTGGAGCAAAGACTCAGTCAACACATTGAACTCGAAAGACCAGTCATCAAGAAAATCAGTAGGCGTGTTTCTCACATGAACATATATATATATATATATATATATATATATATATAT